AGCATCCCTTACCCCCCTTCTTGCAGCTGGCTCCATCTGAATAAATTTCACCTTAACCACAACTGAGGTCCAGTTCCCCTTTTGCGGCTGCGATGGTTTGGCAAAGACCTGCGGGGCAGCCGGAGGTTTTCTCCATGTGCTAACCTCTGGGTCGCACGCCCGCCAGCAGCACATCTGTCTTTAATCTGGGGGGCTCACCTGCACCCCCCGGCCCATTGGGGAAACCCCAAGGATGGTGCTGTGTTAGAGGAGGTTCCCACTTGCCTACGCTCACTCTCAAAGGCTTCATGGAAGCGATGTCAGCTCACGGGGGGTCTGCAGCCCTTGCCTCACCCCAGCCCCAGGGCCGAGTGGGAATGTGCCCCCCGCCACTTTGGGACCCAGGGGGCTGCGGGCTGCCAGGAGTCTTTGCAGCACCCATACGTACCGCTGCTCTCTGTGTATATCTGTATACAGCAAATGTATATGTGTACCAATGCAGGGGGGATACCGTGATATTAAAGCTGTGCTCACGGGGAGGTGCCACGTTTCTTGGTGTGCCACCGGAGATGCCCACAGGGTCTGGGGCCAGCTCTTGAGCCAAGCTGGGAAGCCCTTCCTAGCTGCTCACTGCCGGCAGCCCTGGCTAGGGGTCCTCACCACCCCAGGGACCTTGGCACCCCATCCCTGTGCCCGGCGCGTGCCCAGCTGACGCAAACCAGGCCATGACCCCCTGGCTGAGCTGTGACGTGTTGGCACACGGGACTGTGGTGCTGCATGATGTGCTGGGTGAATCAGCGCCGCTGGCTAATTTTGGTTGCTGGGAGTGAGTTCCTGGCCATACCCGCGAGGAGGAACAGAGCCAGCATTATTTCCTCTCCCTGCCACCGCTGGGGAGGCTGGCACGGGATGGGTCATCCTGTGGCCACGGGGGTGGGCAAGACCCCCAGCGGTCTGAGCCCTAGACCCAGGTGCCCTGGCTCCTCGCCCTGGCCAGCCCTCCGGGCTGAGCACCCACCAACTAATCTCATCCAGATGCCTGCCCGGCCTGAGAGCCTCTGCGTGTTCCCACAGCTGCTAAGGGGGGAACTTTGGGGCAAAACCCTTCTATGTGAGGTGCACCCCACAGTGCCTACAGGCTGCTACCACCACGGGCAGCTGGCAGAGGGGCTGGGCCAGGCTGGATTGGTGCAGGTGGGCTGCAAACTAGTGGTGTCTTGGTTGGAATGCATGAAGGTGGGCTGCAAACGAGTGGCATCCCAGTTGGACTGGGTATAGGTGGGCTACAAACCAGTGGTGTCCTGGTTGGACTGGTGCAGCTGTCTGCAAACCGATGGCCCAGGCAGCGCCCTGGGGTGGCACAGCGTGGAGGTGACACATCTCCAGCACTGTCCTCCAGCTGGCTGGGGCCAGGGAGTCCATCAGGACAGCAGCGCCAAACCAGCACCAGGAGATGTCCGGGAGCCTTGTGGCCAGGGGTCTGGCACTCGCCACCAGTGCCGTGGTCACTGGCCAGCAGCAATATGCATGTGTGTTTTCTCCCTTCCTTAAGTGAGTAACCAAGGCTGACAGGAGCAGGGAGGCTCAATTAGATGGAGAAAAACCATCCCGCAAGTTAGACGTGAAATGATTATGCCTGAGCCATCCCGAGTTCCTGGAATCCCCTCCGAACATAGCTGACGGAGCTGAGGGGACAAACACCCACCCACAGCGCGGGATGATTTCATCCACTATTAGGCAAAATGTATTAATAACATCGTGTGTCCCCCACCACGTGTCATCGTCACCCCCTCCACGGGTTGGAGGTGGAGCTGGGGAGAGGATAAGAGCCAGGGCTTGGCAGGGAGCGGGGCAAACCCCCAGTTCCTGGTCCCTGCGCCCCAGGAGCAGCACCTGAACATCAAGAGGACAAGGACACGCTGGAAATGGTGAGGCTGCGCCCTTCGATGGTGCTTTCCGGGGGAGTTTTAGCTAGGAAATGGGTTGCAAGGGGTTGGATACTTTTCATTTCCCACTTCCCAGAAAGTTAAACCACCTCTGTCTGCCCGCTCCAGTACTTTCTGGAGGGTTTCACGCCAGAGATGGGTTGCAGGAGGTTGGACACATTTTGCTGTCCTCCTTCCAGCTGGGCAAAACCCTGCTGGGTGATGGATTTGGGGGAGAAGTGGCCATACAGCAGGATTTGTGTAGCAGTGCCCCCACACCAGCTCTGACTCCCTCACCCCACAGCACAGCACCCAGATCCCCATCCCACGGCATAGCACCCTGCATCCCTCAGGGCCCTCCTTAGGACCAGGGTGGGGACCAGGACAGAGGAAGATGCTGAGGCTCAGCACAACTCAGTGCACATGGCCGGACTCATGCCCTTGTCACCCCAATGCCACCAACCTGCTGTATATTTTAAGTCCAGTGGCTTGTGTCCCTCCTGGCAAGGTGGCTTTTGCCCCAGAGTCTGGCATCCTTAGGGAAGGTGTGGGAGGAGGAAAGCCCCACAGCTGGCCGGGCCCTGAAACCCTGGGCACGTCACACTTCCCCGGCCAAAGGGCAGGTCTGGGCTCGGGAGCAGCCACGGTCCCCACGCAGCCACCCCCCTGGCTGGGAATGTCTCTTGCCCTGAGTGGCAAAGGGCTGGAGAGTGTGAAATGGAGGGGACAGCTAGCATCTGGTCAGGGGCTGCAGGAAAGGACACAGACACGCAGCTGATTTGCTTCCCACATCCCCTTCAGCCTCCCCAAAAAGGTTAAAATCAGGGTGCAAAACTGAAGGGTCCCCAAAAGGGAGGTGAGCCCCTCCTTGTCAGGCATGGGCAGCTGGCACGGGGAGCGGGGGGCTCTGCGTGTGGCACCCCGGTGGGGACATGTGATGCTCATTGCTGGCCGTGTGCTCCCCGCAGGCACTTCTGGCCACACTGCGCTGCAGGACACTGCTCACCTTCCTGGTGGTCCTTGGGGTGCCAGTGAGAGCCTGGAAGGGGCTGAGCCACCAACAGCTCCCCCAAGCCGGGGCTGGAGGCAGGCTGATGAAGCGGGAAACTACCGTTGCTAACGAGATGCTTCTGGGTCCCCTCAAAATGAGGAGAGATGACGGCTCTGGGGAAGGGTCTCAGCCGGACAAAGTCAGCCTGTTGCTGCTGGAGGGGTCAGCAAGAAAAGCATCGCCCTGCCTGATGAGCCCAGCCACCAGGAGACCTGCTCCCGGGAAAAAGGCCAGAAAGGTGTCCCTGTCACTTGATGTCCCCACCCAAGTACTGAAAATCCTGCTCGACCTGGCCAGGGAGAAGGAGCTGCAGGCCAAGGCGGCCGCCAACGCCGAGCTGATGGCCCGCCTGGGGCGCAGGAAATAAATAAAGCTCCCGGGCTGGGACAGCTCTCTGCCAGGGCTGGAGAGGGCAGCAGGGCTGCCAGCGGGCACAGGCGGAGGGGAGCGCGGGCTGGCATCAGTGTGCCTGGGGAACACGGCACCTCATCCCCCTGGTCCTGGTGCCCACAGCACAAGCAGCAGCCATGGGAAGATTTGGTTTGATGACCGTCACCTCAGCACCACCGCAGAAGATACAGCCAGGTTTGCCTTCACCGAGGCCAGCCCCGGAGCACAGCCTGGTCCCAGTCCTGGGTGCCAGCGGGGATTTCTGTGTCCTGCTTGACTCCCCGCTTGCCCACCCCTGGGATGCCTCCAAAGGGGACGCATCCAGCCAGGCAGGTTCTCCCGTGTGCCGCCTCTCTCCAGGTGGCTGCGATGCACAACAATCTTTCCCAAAGCTCAGCCGAGCCTGGAAGCTGCCGGTGGCGAGCGTGCACAATAAAAGGTGGCATTGAACATGCTTTGTTGTGGTTTATACCAGTCCGGCACCCCTTGTCACCCCCGTTTTGTGTCCCCTCTCCCCGGAGATGCAGTAGGGGCATGTGCCGGGCTAAGGACCAAAGGTAATTGGACCGCATATGAGAGTGTCACCCCTTGCACCGGCAGCAGGGCCAGGATCTGGCCCAGGGTGCCCGCAGGAGCTCTGGGCCAACAGGGACGTCGCATTGCGTCGCCAGAGCTGCCGTCTTCGGTAAGGCTGGGAGATAAGAGTGGTGCAGAGCAGAGCGCAGCC